TACCGGTCATCTTTTAAAAAAAAAAAAAGCACCTTCTGATAGTATTTTTTGTGGGGGGGGGGGGCTGGCTGGTACAGGGATCTCAACCCTTGACCTTGGTGTACAACGCTGCTCTCTGACCAGCTGAGCTAACCAGCCAGCCCCCATCTGATAGAACTTTCTGTGATTCTGTTGTCACCTCGGCTGCAATAGTTGAGTTCTGTTATAGATGGAAATGTTCTCTATCTGAAATGTGGCTAGTGTGATGGGGAACCAAAGTTTTACTTCAATTTTAACTAAATTTTTTTTGGGGGGGAGGGGCGACTGGCTGGTACGGGGATCTGGATCCTTGCCCTTGGTGTTATGACACTGTGCTCTAGCCAACTGAGCTAACCGACCAGCCCTAAGTTTAACTAATTTAAATGGCCATGTGTAGCAACCGTGACTGACACTGTAGTTCTGTGACTCCAGCATCTTCTAGAAGTTGTGTTGGAGTTGGGAGAATTAAACTAGACCAAGAGTTTCTTTACAGGGGTGGGCACCGGCATTGCCTGGGGGGCTTATTGAAACACAGAGTGCCGGGCTCCATCCCTGGTGTTTCTGATTCAGTACAGCAGGGAGCCTGAGAATCTGCATTTCTAGCAAATTCCCAGGGGATTCTGATGCTGCTGATCTGGGACCACACTTGGGGATTCAGGACACTAGATGATGTAGGGCCCATTTGCTGGACTTGTCTGTTTATCTTGTTGGGGCGACCCCGCCCCCCCTCTGGAGGAGGGTGTGCTTGTCTATGTTTTGCTTTTCCAAGGTGGCACTTAAGGAGGTGATCAGTGGATGGGATTAATGACCCCTTTATACATCGCATGGTCCTCTGGGGTTGAATGCAATGCCACAGCAATGGGAACCCCAAAACATCTGGGTGCACACACCTATACTCCTAAGGGCTTCCTCACCCAGCCACCTGTGGGTGGGCAGGACCCTCACAGTTTGGCCCCTCCCCCCAGGTCACCTTCCACAACCCTGTCATCGAGAGGATCCCTCGGCTCCAACGGCAGAAGAAAATCTTTTCTAAGCAGCAAGGTGAGGGGATACTTCAGGGCTGGGGAGAGGACAGGGGTCCCGGGAGTGTCACGGAGGGTGACACCTGTCCCCATCCCCCTAGGGAAGGCATTTCAGCGAGCTCGGCAGATGAACATCGATGTTGCCACGTGGGTGCGGCTGCTTCGGAGGCTCATCCCCAACGCCACAACCACAGGCACCTTCAGCCCCGGGGCATCTCCAGGACCTGAGGCCCAGTCCACAGGGTAAGGAGGGAGGGCCCCATGGTCCCTGCTGCCCCTCGTTGCTTCCCAGGGTGCTGGGTTCCAGACATACCCTGCTCCCCTCTGCTGCAGTGACATATCTGTGGAGAAGCTAAACCTCGGGACCGATTCAGACAGCTCACCGCAGAAGAGCCTGCTGGGTCCTCCTTCCAGCCCATCGAGCCTGGTGAGCATCCCCCTTCTCTGTCCCCCCAGGCCTGCTGCAGGCTCAGAGACTGCCAGGAACTTCCCCGGGGTCATACAGCACCTGTCTGACAGAACCAGGGCCCGGTTCTCTCTCCTGGTTCAAAACGTGAGTTTGGGAGCCAGGCTGCCTGGTCTGCCACCTCCTGACTGTGTGACCCACGTCGAACAGCTTCACCTCTCTGTGCCTCAGTGCACTGCCCTGTCAAACAAGCATGTTTCAAACTCATGTGAGTGACAGCAGTCGAGATGGCAGTGTTCACTAGGCAGGGGTTACGGAAAGAAGGGGGACACAGGAGAGCCTGCTAGAGTGGTGGAAATGCTCTCCATTGCAATCTAGGTCAGAGGCCTCCATGTGTTTTCCACAAGGGGACAGATAGGTGACAGTTTTGGCTTTGTGGGCCAGACAATCCCTGTCTGCATCATAGAGCGAAAGAGCCACAGACAAAATACACATGAATATGCATGGCTGTGTTCCAGTAAAACCGCACTGGTGGACACTGAAGTTTGAATGTCATAGAACTTTCATGGGTCATGAAATATTATTCCTCTGTAAAAATGTTTTTTCCCAACCATTTAGAAATGTAAAAACCATTCTTAGCTCTCGCAGACCATACCAACACAGGCTGGCCTGCTGGTCAGCATTTGCCAACTCTGAGGCTGGGTGGTGGTTACCTGTGAGGATTTATATTATCTTCCAATTCTATTTTTTCATGAACTTTTTAAAGTATCCTGGTACATGTAACAGCTGGTTCCTTTGCCCACCTCGCTGAACGCACAATTACACATCTTTATTTGTTTATTTTTTTGGCAGCTGGCCGATATGGGGATCTGAACCTGTGACCTGGGCGATATAAGGCTGTGCTCTAACCAACTGAGCTAACTGGCCAACCCTGGTTGAATGTTTAAAACAGTGTCTATAGTACCTGCTTGTGATGGACCAACAGGTCATTTTTTTTTTCTGTTTTAAAAACTGATTTTGATTCTTTTCAAAGTTATATGTGCATGTGGTATAAAGAATTAACAGTGTCTATAGTACCTGCTTGTGATGGACCAACAGGTCATTTTTTTTTTCTGTTTTAAAAAGTGATTTTGATTCTTTTCAAAGTTATATGTGCATGTGGTATAAAGAATTAAGACTAGGGCCGGCCCGTGGCTCACTCGGGAGAGTGCGGTGCTGATAACACCAAGGCCCCGGGTTCGGATCCCATATAGGGATGGCCAGTTCGCTCACTGGGTGAGCGTGGTGCTGACAACACCAAGTCAAGGGTTAAGATCCCCTTACCGGTCATCTTTAAAAAAAAAAAAAAAAAAGAATTAAGACTAATACCAAACAAATAGATAAAATACATTTGGAATATAAAATACATTTGTAATATAAAATGTGCTGGGGAGAAAAATAAAGCAGAAAAGGCAGATGAGGGCTGGCTGATTAGCTCACTTTGGAGAGGGTGATGCTGATAACATCAAGATCAAGGTTCAGATCCCCGGAATGGCCAGCTGCCAAAAAGAAAAAAAAGAAAGAAAAAGGACAGGGGTGTTGAGGGGTTCTGTTATTTAATACCATGGTCAGCTGACCACCTACAGAGGTGACATTTGAGTAAAAGCCTAGGAGGAGGGAAGAGCCATGTAGGTGTTTGGAAAAAGAGTGGTCCAGGAAGAGACAACAGCCGTGCACGGGTCCTGGGGTAGGAGTGTGCCTGGCGTGTTCAGGGCACAGGGAGGGGAAGAGTGTGGCTGGAGGGGAGGGAGCGAGGGGGCAAGTGGGAGGAGAGGTGAGGAGAGAGAGGGGAAGTGACAGATCGTGCAGGGACTCAAAGGCTATTGTGGTTATGGGGAGGGCAGAGGTGACTGACATCCCCACTTTGACCTCCTCGCTCCGCTGCAGAGTTCCCCAATCCAGGAAACTACCACTGCTCCCCAGCTGCCTGCAGAGACCCAGGAGACCCCAGGACCCACCCTGTGCAGGTGATGCCCCTGTCCCGACCCCCCACTCACCACCTCTGCCTGCTGTCCCCGTCCGTACCAGTGTCCTCTTTCCACAGCCCTCTAAGGAAGTCACCCCTGACTCCCAGGACCCACCCTGTGCAGGTGATGCCCCTGTCCCGACCCCCCACTCACCACCTCTGCCTACTGTCCCCGTCCGTACCAGTGTCCTCTTTCCACAGCCCTCTAAGGAAGTCACCCCTGACTCTCGAGGATTTCAAATTCCTGGCAGTGCTGGGCCGGGGTCACTTTGGGAAGGTGAGGTGGAGGGCAGGGAGTTGGGGGGCTGGGAGTTCAGACCCCTGGGTCCTGGGCTGGCCACTCAGGCCGTCCTTACCCACTGCTGTTCCAGGTGCTGCTTTCCGAATTTCGGTCCAGTGGGGAGCTGTTTGCCATCAAGGCTTTGAAGAAAGGGGACATTGTGGCCCGGGACGAGGTGGAGAGGTGGGCACCCTGCTCCATCCCTCTGGGGACCGCTGTCTTCTGGGAAGTGAGAGACAGAGCTGTCCTCTCCTTGGAGCTGCAGGCAGAGCAACTTGTAATAGTCCCTGGCGCTTATTAGCCTAGAACTTAAGATAATAATAGCTCTTAGAAAGTAGGTATTCAGTAGCTCATTTGTTCCCCCTGCACCCTATAAGATAAATAATGTTAATTTCCCTATTCTGACGACACAGAAAGGTTGGACAGTTTGTGCAAGGCCACACAACGAGTAAGCAGCAGGTGCAGGATTTGAACCTAGGGACTCAGGCTCTGAGGCCTGTGCTCTTAATGGTGCCACCTCACTGCCTGTACTTTGGGATAAGGGCCCTGGGTTCAAATCCCAGCTCTGCCAGATATGCTTGGAGATCCTGGGAAGTCATTTCTCCCTTCAGAACCTCAGCCTCCTGATATATAAAAGGGAAGTACTGCCTTCTTTGCAGGGTTGTCAGGTGGATTAAACGAGAGGATATATCTAGAGCACTGGCACAGCTCCTGACCCCTGTAAACACTCAGCAGAAAAGCAGTGAGATTGTCCTCAGTCCTCTCAACATCTTTTTAATAATCAGGAACCCAACTCAGAAAAGGATTAAGCAAGTAAAGGAATTTATTGGTCTGGATCAGAGAAGTCCAGGGGTGGGCTGCCTTCAGGCATGGCTGTATCCAGGTGCTCGGATGATGTTTCTCGGTTCTGCTTTCCTCTGTGTAGACTTTTCTTGCAGTCCTCTTGTAGGGGATGAGATGCCCCTTACCCCAACAACTTCAGGCTCATCCACCAGCTTTAGCCTTTCTTCCTTAATAATTCCAGGGGAAATTCTGGGATTGTGCCCCATTAACTTGGTTCACCCATCCCCAAATCAATCTCTGACCAGAGAGATGGGGTGCTTCAATTGGCCTGGGCTTCCTGCCCACCCCTGGTAGTTCCCCAAAGAGAAGTCAAGGGGCTGTTACTAAGATGATGGATGGATTCTGGGTGCCTGTTTAGCAGACAGGGCTGTTGAGGTTCAGAGATATGAAGCAACTTGCCTAAAGTTACACAGCCATGTGATGCCCTCAACAGACATCTGTTGATTGAGGACTCTTGGGAATTTGAGTCAAGAGTAGAAGGCAGCTATGGTCTCTGACCCCTGCCACCCGCCCCCTCCCCTCCCAGTCTGATGTGTGAAAAGCGGATCTTGGCGGCAGTGACCAGAGCACGACACCCCTTCCTGGTGAATCTCTTCGGCTGTTTCCAGACGCCGGAGCACGTGTGCTTTGTAATGGAGTACTCGGCCGGTGGGGACCTGATGTTGCATATCCACAGCGACGTGTTCTCCGAGCCCCGTGCAGTCTTTTATTCTGCTTGTGTGGTGCTGGGGCTGCAGTTCCTCCATGAACACAAGATTGTCTACAGGGACCTGAAGTTAGACAATTTGCTCCTGGACACCGAGGGCTATGTCAAGATCGCAGACTTTGGCCTGTGCAAGGAAGGGATGGGCTATGGGGACTGGACCAGCAGGTTCTGTGGGACCCCGGAGTTCCTCCTCACATGGCCTTACTGCCCCCAGGGATGGGCTATGGGGACCGGACCAGCACGTTCTGTGGGACCCCGGAGTTCCTGGCACCAGAGGTGCTGACGGACACGTCGTACACACGGGCTGTGGACTGGTGGGGGCTGGGCGTGCTTCTCTACGAGATGCTGGTTGGTGAGGTGAGGCCCCAGGTTGCCCCTACCCTACCAGTTCCTTGGATGGCACTGGAACCTGCGTGTGCCCAGGGGTGAGGCTGATCGGTGCATGGGTGGTTCAGTGGTAGAATTCTTGCAGGCCAGGGGTGAGGTGGAAATCTGCCCCTGCCACATGCCGTGTGACTGGGGGCTGTTGACTTCACCTCCCTGGCCTGTTTCCACATCTATAAAATGGGAATCCTTAACTCCCTGTGCAAGCCAGCACCCGAGTGAAAGGTGCAGTCACAGCGGAGGGCTCAGGTGAGGTGGACTTGCCAGAGGAGGGGCCCAATTCACCTGGCTGTCCCTGTCCCCAGTCCCCATTCCCAGGGGATGATGAGGAGGAGGTATTTGACAGCATCGTCAACGATGAGGTCCGCTACCCCCGCTTCTTGTCGTCGGAAGCCATCGGCATCATGCGAAGGGTGAGGACTGCCCCGCATGGGGTGGGCCTAGGGGAGGGGCTCTGGGGCCCCAGAAGTGGACAGACCCTGATGCAGCGCTTTCCCCCCCAGCTGCTGCGGAGGAACCCAGAGCGGAGGTTGGGGTCCAGCGAGCGGGATGCAGAAGATGTGAAAAAACAACCCTTCTTCAGGGTGAGGTCTCCCCAGGGCCTGGCCATCCCCCCACCACCTGGCCATTCCTCCCACCAAGAACCATTTCACACCCCCCACCCCTCAAGGCCTAGTCACTTCACCTCAAGGGTCTCATTGCCCCCAGGCCTTGTCATTCCCCTCAAACACTGTCAATTCCCTTTGATACCCTCACTGCCTTCCCTCTCCCTCCTTGCCCCCCCCCAGCCCCATCCCCATCGACCCTCCTACATCCACATCGACTCCAGGCTGGCCCGGTGGGGGGCATATCCCTGTGTATAAGCCCAGGCTCCCCCACTGACCACCAAGGCCCACCCCCACTGTGATCCTTCCTGAGCCCCTGGTCCCCTCTACTCCCCGCCTCTTTTCTTCTGTCTTGTGGCTCCTCATGCTGGTCCCCCAGACCTGGGACTGACTCCTCCTGCAGCCTCCCCATTCTACTGCCCACGCTGACCCTCTTTCCACCCTCCACCCCCCAGACCCTGGGCTGGGACGCCCTGCTGGCCCGGCGCCTGCCACCGCCCTTTGTACCCAAGCTGTCGGGCCGCACCGATGTCAGCAACTTTGATGAGGAGTTCACGGGGGAGGCACCCACGCTCAGCCCTCCCCGCGATGCGAGGCCCCTCACCGCCACCGAGCAGGCCGCCTTCCGGGACTTCGACTTCGTGGCCGGGGGCTGCTAGCCCCTCTTCTGTACCTGCCCCCGCCCCCAACCAAGAGCTCTTAGTTTTTAAAAAGGCCTTTGGGGTTTGCCCCAGCCATGCATCCTTCGTCTCTTGTGCTTAGAAATGGGGTGGGAGGGGCCGGCCCGTGGCTCACTCGGGAGAGTGTGGTGCTGATAACACCAAGGCCACGGGTTCGGATCCCATATAGGGATGGCCGGTTCGCTCACTGGCTGAGCGTGGTGCTGACAACACCAAGTCAAGGGTTAAGATCCCCTTACCGGTCATCTTTAAATAAAAAAAAAGCAATGGGGTGGGAGGTCGTGTTTGGAGGTGGGGAGTGACAGGGAGGTGTCCTGGGCTATGATGGGGGTCATTTGAAGAGGGTTACGGGAAATCGGGGCTGTTACTTTGGTGGGGATCGTGGCTAAGCTGTGATGGGGGGCTTGGAGTTGTGTTGGGGGCATTGGGGTTTCGAGGCTGTGATGGGGAGTGATTTGGGGATTGGCTCTTGGGGCTGTGTTGGGGAGCTCAGGGCCATAATGAGCAGAATGGTTGCGGGAATCTGTCCTAGAGGCGCAGGGGCAGGAAGTGCCCCCCGCCCCCTCCAGGCCCTCCCGCTCTGCTCCTAGCTGGGCCCCAGCCCCCAGGCTGTGGCCGTGGCGTTGTGCGCATGCTCGTGCTGCTCTGACTCCCCGCGCCGGGCATCCGAGCGTCCGGTGTGACTGCGCCGTCGCGTGGCAAGTCACAGAACTGCACTCGCCCCGGATGCACCTCTGCCGCCCCCACGTGGCGACCGTGGGTCGTGCAGCCCCGACGGGACACACAGCCCGGGACTCTCAAAATGGCTGTATTCCCTAAAGACTCCGCGCCGCGCACCTGTGCCAGGCCAGGGTGGACTGGCTTAGCCGCTGGGTCTCCGGGCACGCTTAGAAGTGGCTGAGGCCACTGTGCCGGGAGCTGCGCAGCGAGCTGGCCTCCCAGGCGCTTGGGGTGAGGCCCAGCCCTCCGGGGCCGCCCTTGGCGCCGGCCCTCGGGGGCAGGAGGCGAAACAGCTGGCGCAGCACAGCCTGACGCAGCAGGATGTACACCCAGGGGTCCAGAATCTGGTTCCAGGAGGCAAGGCGCACGGCTAGAAACAGCGGCCGCTGCAGGGAGCTGGAGCTCCAGCCCCCGACGGCCAGCACCACCAACACCTGCAGGAAAAGCCGGAGTGAGCGTGGGGTGGGTGTAAGAGGGGGGGGCTAGGGTGGGTGGGGACGTGGCTGGGATGGAAGAAGGACGGGTGCAGGGGCGGAGCGTCACAGGTAGGGTAAGTGTGGGAGCGGACTATGGAAAGGGGTGCAGAAGCAAAGGCTTTCGGTGGGTGGGGGCTCCGGCAAGAAAAGAGAGAAGTCCCAGGTATCCCGAAGGTCACGGGAGAGGAGAGAAACGAGGTGATGGCGTGGAAGAGGGCTCGGGAATGAAGCGTGCGGCTTAGAAGGGCGGGGCTGGAGAGAAGGTTTGTGTGGGTCAGAGTGGGCTACAAAGACCCCGGGGAGGAGGAAGGTAAGGGGGCTGGGAGGAAGGATGGGACGTCAGATGGCGAAGGCAAAGGGCTCTCCTCGCAGGTGGGGCCTCCAGGGGGCGGAGCCATGGCTGGGTAAGGGACAGAGGCCCCGGGTATCCTAGGATGGAGAAGGGTGGGGAGGTGGAAGGGAGGGAGCGGGAAGGGCCGTGGCTCGAGAGGCAGGTGCGCCCCTCACCAGCAGCGGACTCCAGCAGATGCACGACACCATCATGATGCCCACGAGCTGGCCCACCATCTCCACGTCGTGGGCGCGGGCTCTACGCGATGAGCCGCGGCCCCGGGAGATGCCGAGGGTGGCGGAGGTGGAAACGATGGACGAGGCGGAGGAGGCAGAGGCTGAGCGGGTTCCGCGCGGCCCCCCACGACGGCGGCTGTCGGG